ATCTTAGACACCCACTCACAGCCTGTGGTCGATACAACTCTGCCCAGTGCCAAGATGCTCATGGGGATTCTGCTGGCTAGTTTCTTTGATTTAGTTACATAGAACAACATCTGCCTTTTATACTCTAAGTAATCCCCACTTCTCTTGCCAAGCCACTGATTCAAAGATAGTTTCCCACCTACATCCCATCCCTTAGTCTGTAATATTCCTTTCATATCTTTCTAATCCTAAAACTCACCAGCACCAACTGCACCCGAAGTGGGTACAGAGAAGGACTGTAGGGACCTGGCTATAGTAAGCGCTTTCCAAAGACCCACCTGGGGTAACTACGTCTACAAGCTCAAAGCTGGGACAGTGGTCCTATGCCAAAGGCAGAAGTTCATATGCAGGTGGCATTTTCTCTAGATGTGCCTCAGTCAGAGACAGAACACTATGTAGTTCAGGACAGCTTCCAATCATACAGTATTTGCTGTTTCCCTTTCTCCCTGAAGCATCGTCATACTAAGTCACAGGCCAGTTGAGCTACAAACAGCAACTCTGTTTTGACACACCATGGGATGCTGAAATATAACCAAAATGGTTCAAATATCAAGCCTTTTGCAAAGCACTTCCCAGGAGCAGATTAGAAGTGTCACACCTGGCCTGTCCCCAAGGGTAACACTGGAGAGAAAATGACACACAACAGCAGATGCTCAAATGCACAACACAGCCATAGTCCCACTGGAGGGTGTCCCAAGAGGAGGTGAGAATTCACTCAGGCTGTCTAGAAAAAGAACAGAGCAGTGGGCTCAAAGTTGGCCCTGAAATAAGAAGGCAAAGGTCTAGGGATACAAGACATGGTATGTATAGTAAGACCCCACGCTGGGCTATGAGGACATGGGCAAAGGGACAGCCCAGAGGACTAGATGTCAAGCTGAGAAGACAGTCAATACGCCCTGAGTGTGTCTGCATCCCAGACACTATTTCCCCATAGGAACTCACAGCCTGGCGCCCCACACAACAGTCTGTCTCTGGTGCTCTTCCATCATCGTGAAACCCAGAAAGTTCCTTTGGGAACATCTTCCCTTAAATCTCCTCACCCAGGTCCCATCTTGGCATCACATTCTGCAAAGGTAAGCACTCAATAAACACCAATCAAATCCCAGAAAGAATCTTCCACATCTTCCACAATCTTCCACAATCTTCCCTGTTAAAGTTCAACTCTAAGGAGTACTTGCCAGGTATCCTTTCCTTGATCTTAACTATGAGGTCAGAGCTTTGAGATCTTTCCACGTGAATCAACATCCTGTTTATCTTCCATCATGTAATTAATGGCCTCCAACTGTTAACACCCCTTCCCTTCTAACCTCCTTAGGATTTAATTATTAAGGCGGAATCGCTTGGGACACTCTTTCATCAGAACCTGGCTGGGGGCGTGGGCACGCTGCAAACATAGACCATTTATAGATTTTCATATTTGAACACTCTAGTAACACAGCTAATATGAATTAAAACTACTCTTTCTAGCAACCTGTGACTAAACCAAACACTATCCACCATGGGACCAAGACTGTATTATATTTTTCTGGAGAGAGGATCTATGTAGCCTAGGCTAGCCTCAAATTCCCAATTCTTCTGCTTCTACCTCCCAAAATGCTGGGATTACTGGTGCTCTCCATCATGCCTGGGACTTATATTATTTTTATGTTCTGAATTGTGGTTTTATAACTCAGAAATCAAATGTTACTTAAACAAAGAAACTTTAGATTTATTTTACATTATGTGTATGAATGTTTTGGATGCCCATATGTATGTGTAACATGTACATGCCTGATGCAAAGGGGTCAAAGGAGAGTGTCAAACTCCCTAGAACTGGAGTTACAGGTGGTTATGAGGCACTATGAGAAGTTCTGGCAATCCAACCCGGGTCCTCCTGTATGAGAAACAAGTGTTCTTAACCACTGGGCCAACTCTCCAGTTCCTAAATAATAAACTTTAAAAAACAACTAAAATGTATTCTGGTAATCTTCCATTACAATAAAAAAAAAAACCCACATATACACACATACAGACACAAACACACAGACACACACACACACATTTATTTATGTATGTGTGTGGGCACACAAGTACCATAATGAGCACTGAGAAGCCAGTGTACAACTTTCTATTTTTAAGTTTTGGGTTTTTTTTTTCTTTTTTTGAGACAAGGTTTTTCTGTGTAGCCCTGGCTGTCTGGGAATTCACTCTGTGGACCAGGCTGGCCTGGAACTCAGAGATCCATCTGCCTCTGCTTCCTGAGTGCTGGGATTAAAGACATGCACCACCACCACCTGGCTTTTATGTATATGAATTTTTTTTAATTTTTTTTTTTTCGAGACAGAGTTTCTCTGTGTAGCCCTGGCTGTCCTGGAACTCACTCTGTAGATCAGGCTGGCCTCGAACTCAGAAATCCGCCTGCCTCTGCCTCCCAAGTGCTAGGATTAAAGGCGTGCGCCACCACCACCCGGCTTGTATATGAATTTTTAATGACTTATTTTAGGTGCATTAGTGTTTTGCTTGCATATGTCTATATGGGTGCTAGATCCCTTGAAACTGGAGTTGCCAGCTACATGTGGGTGTTGGGGCCTCTCGAAGAGCAGCCAGTACTTTCAACCACTGAGCCATCAGCTGTTTTGTTTGTTTGGTTTTGAGTCAATGTTTCTCTTTGTAAACCTAGCTGTCTTGAAACAAGCTCTATAGACCAGGCTGACAGCAAACTCATATATCTTCATACCTTTGCCTCCCAAGCGCTTGAATTAAAGGCATGCACCACTGCTGCCCAGCTCAAGTATAACTTTTCAGAGTCAGTTTTTTCCTTCCACCTTGTGGATCCTAGAGACTCGAGTTATCAGGCTTGGTTGGCAGCAGGTGCCATCTCACCAGCACAGTAAAGGATAAACTATAAAACTATAAAGTAATCTTAAAAGACAGTAACATGAAGAGATGTTTGACTTTAACTATGCTGAAGTCAAACAGTTCTAAATACATTGTTCCAGTGCTAAGTCAGCGAAAGACACCAGAAGCCAATGGCCAAGGCTGATTTAAAATCTGATTTAATACACAAGACAGGGATACTTGAATAGAAAGACAAGAATGATTATAAATGCCCACTGTTTGAAAAACCAACAGTAAAACATACACCCTCACTATAAAAAGAAAACATGGCTGACAAAAGCCTATTTCCATCCTTCAGACTTCTGTCATTTTCTGGAAGGTCAGAGTTGACCAAATCTCTAAGAGTAAAGAGATTTGGTCAACTCAGAAATGGGAACAGCTGGAAGGAAGGTTGTGAAGGACGACCACAGTAATATCTCAAACCCTAACTTCTTGATTATTTTGCAGTAACTCAAGAGTTCTTATTTCCTGGTCATAATGCCAGGCCTCACTGAGAAGGTGCTCTGTCAGGCCGTTTAAAGTGCAATGGGCTCCAATCTTTCTAGAAAACCTTCTGAGCAGCAACTTTGAGGCTGGCAAGGCACAAAATCAAGTGCCATCATGTAGGCTGAACCAGAAAACTCAGTTAATATAAGGCTAGTGAACTGCCTAGGGGAAGGGGGAGAACCATTTTTCCTACGTTTCAATCCTGCACAATACTGATTTATCAGTTATGCAGTATACCACACAACTTTTGTAATGATAATAACTGAAATACTTTCTATTACCAGAGGTATAACAGTATTAGCGTTTAATTAAAGATAAAGAAACTGCAAACTAAGCTGGAAATCCCTACTCTTTTCAAAGGCAGTGGGAAATGAAGTCTGAAAAGCAGATCGAAAAGGATTCTCTACCTGGTCTCTCTTTAACCTAAGGTTTTTCTACACCTGGCCCCGAACATGAATACAAATAATTCATTTATTAGAAGTAAACTGACCTTTGAACATTTTTACTCAGGAGGTACTTTCTAAGAGATGCGGTGCCTGTTCTTATTATGGATGAGAAGGATGAAGCACAAACTCTGCAAGTCACTAGAAAAAAGGTAGCCACTGTATCAACCCCCATGGCCTACGTTAATTTAAACGTCTGGAATGTGAAAAGACCAGATGAATGCAAAGGGTTCTCAGGTTCCAAAGCCAGCAAATAGTTGGGCGGTGGTGGTCACACACCCTGGTCAAAAGAATCTAGGGAGAAGAAAGTAGGGCCACAAAAAAAGCTTGGGTCCTTCTCGATCGAAGAGCATGAAAAGGCAAGAGAGGCACTGTTAAACCAGAGGGCCGACGCAGGTGGGTACAGGAGTGCCATCCTCCCTCCGGCCCAGGACGCTAGGCTGAGAGTGCCCGCTGTGTGGAGAGGTGTGTGTCGCGAGTGGCGACTAGGGTGGCCAGACCCCTGCTGACCCGCGAGGCCCTCACCTTGTCCGAATCTAGGTCGGGGTCCGCCTGACACAAGCGGTACAGGAAAGACTTCGGGTCCCGGCACAGCGTCTGCCGGGTGGTGAGGAAGTAGGTGCCGCCGACGTTGAGCCGGACCCACTTGGACACGCCACTGGGACGCTGAGCCAGGGCGCCGATCCCAGCGCTGCAGCGGCGGCACAGGCCACCCCCCAGCCCCGCCCCGAGGCCGCTCGGAGCCGGCGGCAGCAGCTCGCAGTGATTCTCCGCCATGATCCTAACAAGCCCCGCCACAGCGCCCCGTCGCCGGAAGCGTTCGTTCTTTAATACAGTCCCCCGAGTTGTCCCGCCCATAGGTACGCCCCAATAAAGTGCCCGCCCAGGGCTCATGTGCAAGGCGGAAGTTCCGGTTCGAAAAGCGGGCCGGAGATTACCGCTTCCGGCAGAGCAAGCATCGGGTTCTCACATGGGCATCCTCGGCTCAAGCTCCGCCCCTACCCAAAGAGGATACAGGACAGAAGAAAGTGTACACTCTACATGCTTTTATTACAAGACTACCGAGCATACGAGGGAAATCCATCATCCGGTAATTACATCTAAAGCACATATATTTGAAAAAAAAAAAAAAAGAAAAATTGTTTCATTAAATTATATGATTAAACCATGACCAAATAGAAAATTTATATAATAAAGCCAGGAAAAAAGTTGTAAAATATAGTTTACAATAATTATTCACATTCAAGGCTGTACATCAATACATACAACAACGTGGCCCCAAACATGAATTCAATCCAAATAATTCATATATTAGAATTTAAATAACACAGACTGAACTAGAGGCCGACAATAGCCAGCAAATAACCTTATATAAGAATAAAAATACAAAAGTGTATATCCTAGTATCATTGCATTATCTGTTTTCATAAGTATTTTTAATTTTTCCTTTGCCTGTACATCACAGTTACAGCTACAGACCAGGTAGAGAATATTACACATGTTCTAACTGACTGCCACCAACCTGAATGACAGCAATAGACTATTGATTCATCCTACTGTACGTGGCTATGGAACAGCCGCAGCAGCTCTAAATACTGTAACAGTGTTTAATTTGTGCATGTCCAATCACACTATGGTCATAATGGAGGCTTTCACCTGCACAGTGACCCATTTGCAGTCATTAACCCAGATGATTAAACTAGGGTGGACTACATGGGGAGGGGAAGTTTTGCCATTTGTAAAAACTTCTGTACAGTTTGGATTCTTCAAATGGAAGAAATGAATTACAGGGAAATTTCAGGTACTTATATTGGCTAATTCATTTGCTCACCACTGCAAAAGTGCTTTTGACAGAAACAGCTTCCTTCGTAGGCCACTTTTCCACACTCTGACTTAATACCCTGAAGTGTGAGGCCAGAAGCCAGTTATCTTCAGAGGTTTTGAGAGTGGTCCCTGCCCTTGTCATATGTTCTACCCAAGAAGTGCTACACCCACTGGCATCACCATCAGTTTATGTTGGGTTTTGCATTAAAGCAAATGGAAAAAGTGTATGGCCGCATCTTCACCATACTCAGAGTTGCTGTGGCCACGCAAGAATCAGCTAAGAACACCCTGGGTCTATAGAACAGTGGGGAGAAGTCTTGAGGCAGAGAAGGGCAGGAAACTGATTTCTGCACATCTCCAGCCCTAAGCTCTGACAGTCAAGTAACACTGAGTATGGTGCCCAGAAAATCTCTGTTGCATGTTTCCAAATTGAACCAGCAGGCACCACCCAACACATACAAAGATACTATCCAATTTGGATGGGCACTATAGCTATCTGCAGCACTGCAGCACACAAGGAGGTTTACATAAGCATCAGCTGGGATACCCATCCTTGGCAATGAAAAAGCCTGGCCACTGTGCTGTCCTGAACCAAGACCTGAGGTGTGGAACAAGAACATTCACAACTGTACTTTTGGTAAAACCCAATCATCTGTGTGGCTTCTTTTCCAAGAAGAGCTGTTATTCTTCTTTGCTAATGATTCCCAAATGGCCCAAATGCATTTCTGAGTCTATAAACTTAATTATGAATTACCCATTAGGCATGTGGCAAGGTCAGTTCAACACTTTATCTCTGCTGACTGTGTAGAAGCAGATTCAGTACCATCGTGGACACAAAGTACAAGATTCTGAAAACCTCACGGAGCACTTGGAAGCCTTAGCAGCAGAGATGAAAAGAAGTAACATGCAGGAGCAGATTCTTGCAATGAGAATGAAGAAACTGGCTTTTGGAAAAAAACCTGTCACAAAGGAATCTGCAGTAATGACATTTTAGCATTAAAACAAAGCAGTCATAGTCAAACTTTCTTGGGAACACACAGCTTAGCAAGAATTGATGTATTCAAAATCTGTAGGACACAAGGAAGGTTTGTAACTGGAACGCAGAGCCTCTAAACATCAGACCAAGGAAGAATAGCTGTGAAATGAACAAACTCTTTTACCCAAAAATACCACTTCAGGTATGTGAGGAAGGGGTAAAATCAGAATAAAAATCAAAGACTTATAAGTATATTGACCACAGCATTATTTAAATAGCAAAAACAAAACACAAAGCAAACACAAAAACCATCCGAATGTTTTACAACAAGGAAACAATTGGATAACTTATAAATTTACAACCATTTGAATCCACAATTATCAGAAACATGCTTTTGAAGAACTACTCATGGCATGGAGAAATGCTTAAGAGAAAATGTCAAGTGAAAAAGCTGGATATAGAATGATAAATGTATGTGTTCCCAGTTTGGTTTAAAAAGCAAACAAGGACTGCTTATCAGTGGTAGAGCACTTGCTTAGCACTCCTGAACCTCATAATTCAATTCCCAGCCCTGGAACAAAAAAAAGTATGGGAGAACAGGATCTACATCAAAACGCTCACAGTGGTCTCTGAATGACGGGCCTTCCTTTATTCTTTTGCTTTCAGAAAACATAAACTTCTTTAAAGAAAGCACACAATTACGGCCCCCTTGCTGGCACTGGAAGTCTGTGCCACACAACTGTCTGCAAGGTTACTTCAAGCATGAATCACAAACACTAGGGTGGCCCAAAGAGGGCTGCAGCAGGTACAGTTTCTATCAGTTTCAGCCTAACACAAGCCATCTTTCTCAAAGTGGTTTTTACTGCATCTATGGGTTTTAGCTCAGGATGACAGCTGAGCCATGATGCCACTCCCTGGAGTGGAGAGACTCAGCTCTACACGGGGAGCCCACTGCCCAGCTGGAGCACAGAAAAACAGGTGGGAATGACTCATCCAAGCTAAGTTTCATCCGTGATGCCGAGAGAAGTCAGGGCGCAGTGGGCTGTGAGATACAGTCCACTGTACCTAGGTAGGAGAAGCCAGAGAACATCCTTCAACTTTCTTTCCATCCTTGCCATTCTTGGACACATGATTTCTAGAGGTACTACTAGGGCATCTCTTCCTCTCCTTACATACATCCTGCATTTACATTTACTGTCACTGTTACACACACACACACACACACACACACACACACACACACACACACTGTTGTACAAACTGACACCCACATCCTGTCCTACAAAGTAAGGCACCTGCATACAGGGTGACAGCTCTACGGAGGACTGGAAAAAATGAAGTGATTTAAGCCAAGGAAAGAAAAGAATGTGCATGGTTCGTTAAAGAAAAAAAAAATCAAGAAAAAGGGGGCAGTAAGGACAAAGGTGACCTGGGAAGAGCTTGGCTGTTGTAGCATAGGGCAGTCATGGTGGCCACCCACTACTAGCTCAGCTGAACCCTAAATTTGGAGGTTAGGGTGGTGCTTGGTAAAGTCCAGGAGGTAGTGTTGCTCTCCAGGGAAGGAAGCAACAAAGGACTCTCCCATATACAGCCAGTCATGTGGTCTAATCAAGCCAAGCCTCAGTCCTCTGGTCCCTGTAGTTAAGTGCCCTCAGAGATGCCTTTCCCTGTGTCTGAATGCAGGGCAGGTGTGACAGGCAGGAAGCCACTCTTACGTGTACAAATGGAGGATACAGGGCACTCTGAGGGCTAAATAGCCACAAGGTGTAAGCAGGAACAGGACCCCAAGGAGGAAATAGCCAAGTGTACTTAGCTAACACAGGCTCTTCAAAAACCAAGAGAAAAGAATGCCCACTTTCACTCTCAGGCTGATAGCATACTAGACAGTACCTGCTCCCTGGGTTATACGGGCAAGTGAGGTCCTGCTCCTTGGACACCTGAAGCTCTTATCACACAATTTAGCTGAGTCTAAATAAAATCTCTGTACCCATCCAGCACCCCTGCCACAGCATGATGGCTGGCTTTTCATCTACACTCCACCCCAGCTTAAAAGAATCACTCTTATTGTTAAAGGTTTGAGAATAGAATCTTCCCCTCTCAGTTTAGATGGCCTGGACCACAGGTGGTCACTGCAGACAGAACTGGGGTAACTTCTGTTATGGATATTTAGAGGTGCCTTTGTGAAAGTTAATAGAAATGGCAAAATTGTTGCTAACTTTGGGACATGGGAGTCTGAGGTGTTGCTGTGAGCAGACTATGACGGGAGATCCTACTTTTAACCACTAGACACCAAGGACCAAGTCTCAGGGACATCTTAAGTCAAAGAGAGGCACAGCCAAGTCCCTCAGAAGCACTCTGCAAGAAATGCCAAAATACCCCAAGCCATCTGTATTATAGAACAAAGCACTGTCAGTTTAGCATCAAAGAAGTTTCCCAATACTGGATATGTCAGCATAGGCAGGCTCAGATTAAGAGGGCTGTTCCTGTGAGCAAGACAGTGATAACATTCTTTCCAGGCAAGGCCCACACTTTATGGGAGTAGGTGACCAGGCAACATGGGAAGGCTTTTAGATTTTCAACAGAGTTGTAAAAATGGAGCTAGCTGAGAAGTGTTTACCTACTGCATCCCAGGTGAGGCTAGGAGGGATAATGGGGCACACCTTAGGGTTTTCTCAGTGCCTGCCTCATAGGGCATGTGGTCTACACACTTAAACCTGTGCAGAAACTCCCAAGAGGGCCTGCTGCCCCACTTCTCTACATGGAAGCAGGAGCCCAGGCTGGATTCTCCATAGTACCTCCAGCCTTGTCCAGGTTCAGGACAGAATTCTGTATCTGATAATAATCTAGTTGGTATTACCTAGGTGCTGATATAACAGCAACCCTCCTGGACAGGTGCTTGGCTTGGTGTCTAGTTCACCGGATAAACTTCTAGGAAGTGGAACGCTAGAGCAGAGCCCAGTAAGGGCACCTGTAACTACAACAGCCTTCATTCTTCTCACCGTATAACCTGCCTACTGTAAGGCAGGAACCACAGAAATAATGTCACCAGAAACACACCTGACCAAATTTCTAGGGCCATACGAGGGATTCAAGGAAGGGAGAGCATACACAAGCTAACAGCCTTGTCCCCACAGCAAGCTGGTGACTACCCCAGGAGAGGAGTGAAGGGGCTCCTGGTGAAGGATTCTGCAACAACTGGGGTAGGCCAGATACACCCAGTCCCTCAGTCACAGCAGGAGCTGTGTGTATCAGGCGGGGAAGGGCAGAGGCAGACATGCAGTTCCTGTGGGTGCTAGGAGGGGCTGGTGATGCCAAATCTGGCCACTGGTCTGGGCAGAAGCTGGACTACCGTGCAAGGAGCTGGGTCTCCATGGCCACAGCAGTGCAAGGAAGCCACCACAGAGCACAGAGAGCAAGCAAAGCGACCCTGAATTCCTGTTTGTTGGCGATTTGTTTTGTTCTTTGTGTGGTTGGGTTCTTTTTTCTTCTTTTCTTTTAAATAAAAAAGCTGCAAGGTTTCTGCCATCTATGTTCTCCTCGAGATGGCTGGCAGGTGGTCTGGAAGTGTCCTGGGTGGCGGCCGAGCCGCGCTGGGGCAGGTATCCTGGCAGCGATAGGCAGCCCGGCCGCAGGCCGCGTCACTGCACAGCAGCATCTGGATTGCTCTGGTACTGCTGCCTCCAAACCTCCTGGATCTTTCTGCACCACTTGTGAGCATTCCCGCTTGGATCCATCAGGTAATACGTCCTGTTAGGCTGCAAAACAGAGCATCTGATGTCCTTCAGGGAGTCCCGTCCCCACCCAGCCTGTTATGCTGTCGATGTTGCCAGCACCTTTTTAAAGCCTGTGGGCACAGTGAGCTTCTTCATTCTACAAGTGCAGAACTTAATTAAGTATGTGGGCAGGTGACCTATCAAAACTAAAATCAAGCAGAGTATATCTCCTGGCCCAATTCAGGCCTAAGTTGTTCATATAGGCCTGTCTCTAAGACTCAAGATGCTGACCTGACCCTAGAGGGATACTCCCAACAGAGATGTAGAAGCCTGTGAGGAGACACAATCAGGCACCTTATAGGGATAGACTCACCGTGTGGACAAAGAAAGTTTTAAAATTCTTGGCTTCTGGTCGGAGCTCTTGTGACCATGGAATTTCACCTTTCAAGACCTTGTTGACAGGATCAACATAATATAAATGTGGCCCTTCTGTGAGTAATAATTGTCGTCGTCTTGCAAATAAACCCTGGTATAAATAAAATAAATAAGCTGATCAAGACATAGATGAGACTAACTGGTAAGTAGCTCAGGACATAGTGACTGCCAGCCACCTTTCCATTGACTTGAGACATTTCCTCCTCAACCTGGAACCTAGGTCCAACATAATATATCAGGGAAAATCATAAGAATAGGTCTCTGCTGCTTAGCTTACAATATGCCTTCCAATGGCTAGCTTGTAGTGTCCTGATCACTCAGCTTTTCTAAGGCACAGAATCCTGCCCTTGGTAGGCCAGGCCTCAGTCCATCTTCATGGAGATTCTCACTTCTATAGTATACACAGCCAGGAAGGGGATTCAGGAGGCTCCTGTTGGCAAAGTCTTGATATATTCTGCACTAACTGTTGCCTAGAAAACGTAATAAACAACAACCCCTGTAACTTTCAAATCTTCTAATGAAAGATTACTTGCTGGGCTCTAAGAAATAATCTGTTCTCTTCAATGTGACAGAAACCTTAGCCTTGTGCAACCGTGCCCTGTGGCCAGAGCATAAGGCTGGTTTTCCACAGGACTGGACTGCTTCCCTAAGAGTCTGAGTGTTTTATAATATCTAGAGATGATCTCCAAAGATCATCCCAAGATGAAAAGTGCCATGTCAAACAATTCCTGGCAAGACCCCACGGTGAAGAACTGACCTGAGACAGAAGCAGTAGGAAGTCACAGGATGAAGAGGTTCAGGGAACCTACTCACCTTTCGCTTATCCACTGGGCCCATTTTTAATATTAGATTATTTTCTACAAACTGGTGCCTAAAAAAGAAAGAAAGAAGAATGATCCAGCAGTTCTCTAAACTCTACACTTTGAGAAATACCCACAGGGCCTCTGTAGACTTTATATCCATCAAATCCTGTCTCCGACCCCACCCCAAAGATGCAGCTTCTTTTCAGGTCCAGGAGATACCCCAGATACAGTGATGCAATGTCTAAGATTTTATCTGTACATATGGGCCATAATCTATTCCCGAGATCATCTTCTAGCTGGAGATACCTGCATAGTAGAGGAAGTTAGGAGATAGTGTCACAGAAACAAGCTAACACATACCACCACCACCACCACCACCACCACCACCACCACCACCACCACCACCACCATCTCATCAACATCACCACCATCACCATCATGTCAAAAAAGCTGCAGTGAGGCTGAGTGGGCTGGCAATAACTTTAATCCCAGAACTCAGGACACAAAGGCGAGCAGGAGTTTAAAGTTATCCTGCCTACATATCAAGTTCTAGGCCAGCCTGGAACACTGCTTCAGAAAACAAAAAGGGCCAAAACAAAACATGCTAGGTGAAAAAACTTTCAGAGGTTTGGATCCACTGCAAATCAATATTAGAATCTGCAAATTACTTTTCAAGCCAGGACACCTAAGAGTGCCTAGAATCCAAAGTTATATAGAATCCTGAATCCTTAAAAGATAGCTTCAGATGTGCCTAATCTTACTTATATGCCAAGGCTTAATATGCAACTTTGAATTCATACATAGCAAATGTGGCTCTCCTAAAACAGGCAAACTCTGTCATCAATGCCAAAGAGATGAAGACACAGAGGCTAAGGAGTTCATGCTTCACCCATGGTCAACTACATAATGGCAATGCAACACAGAACTCCAAAGCCTGGCTCTCCTCTCTGCTATCCACACAGACCCCAAGACAACTCTCTAAGGACCTGGGCCTGAGGCTCAAGCACAGCCTCACTGTTTCAATCTAGTATCCTATATAGCTGAGAGTGGCCCCTGGAACAAAGCAGCAACAAATCTGTTTCAAATATCAGCAATCTAGCCTTCAGGCCTCATGTTATTTTATTTTGCTTTTGAAAGGTTTATCCACTCTTTGCATGAGTGTTTTGTCTGCACATGTGTATGTACATGATGTATGTGCTCAGTGCCAATGAAGCCAGAGAGGCATCAGACTGCCTGGAATTAGTGGATGGTTGTGAGCCACTGTTTGCTGAAAAATGAACCTGTTCTGCAAGAACAGCCAGTGCTCTTAGTCATTGGGCCATCTCTACAGCACAGGCCTCATGAACTATATCCTCTAACACTGAAGGAATGTTACCGTCATTATTAGCATTATTCTCTCTGGACTGTAACTACCAACACATAGTCCAGAAAACGTCAACACATGCTTTCACCTTTATTGCTTTGCTTTGCCTAGAACCTTCACAGACTTGGCCGGCCTCAATCTTCTTGCCTCTGCCTTCTATATGCTGGGATTGCAGGCATATATCACCATTCCCAGCTTCAATTATTTATTTAACTAAAAATAATAAACATGCCAGGCAGTGGTGGTGCATGCCTTTAATCATACACTTTAATCCCAGCACCTGGGGAGGCAGAGACAGGCAGATTTCTGAGTTCAAGGCCAGCCTGGTCTACAAAGTGAGTTTTAAGACAGCCAGGGCTATACAGAGAAGCCCTGTCTCAGGAAAAACAAAGAATTAGCAAGCAAGCAAACAAAAAACCACAAAAAAAAAAAAAAACAAACCAAAACAATTAACCTGAACAGCAAAATGACTCAGTGGTTAAAGGCTCTTGCCAATATGCCTAACTTCCACACATACACACACATACATAAAATTTATTTATTACCATGTACTCATACACATGCCTACAGCTGATTTACTCTATACTGGGCCGTATCATAAGTGTATCCTTCTTGGTTTTTAAAGTGGTAATTTGCTGAAACAGCTGTCTGCAATAGTGTCGTCAGTCTTCTTTCCTGGTGATGAAAGGCACCTACTCAATGTTCTTGAAAGCAATATGATAGCCAGTAGTTCATTTGTGGACCTTCTCCATCTTTTTATATGTCTACTTTTTCCCCAGTGTACTTTCTTGCAGTAATTTTCAGAACTGCTCTCTTCACTGTGAGATGCCTTCTCTGCACGTCAGAGAGAGCACACTCTATACACTGATTCTATGCTGGACTGGGTAGGCTAATTCTAGTCCAGTGGATTGCCACCCTGGTTCTATGGTATTCTGATATCCTTAAGAAGGTATGGCTGTGCTACAGCCTCCTTACCAAGGGTGGACAGTTTCAGCTCGAAAGAATAACATAGCTCTGCAGTTCTTTTTTTTTTTTTTTTTGGTTTTTCGAGACAGGGTTTCTCTGTATAGCCCTGGCTGTCCTGGAACTCACTCTGTAGACCAGGCTGGCCTCGAACTCAGAAATCCGCCTGCCTCTGCCTCCCGAGTGCTGGGATTAAAGGCGTGCGCCACCACCGCCCGGCCAGCTCTGCAGTTCTTACAACCATGTCTTCTTCAGAAAACTCAAATCAGTTGTATTTTTTTTTCATATTTTAGTTGTATTTGATAACTTCCCAGTTCAATTCATGTTCCTTTCTGACATCCATCCATATAAATTTGAGGTCCCTTTTCTGAGAATACACTAAAATTATTCATGTTCACCTGTAACTGTAAACTGTTGGCAAGAGAACACTTACAAACACCACTATTTAAGCACACTTACTTTTTTTTTTTTTAAAAGAAGCAAAGTGGCTCAAACAGGAACAAAGCTCAATAAACTAGACAAAAACCAAGTAAGACTAAAGCTCTGAACTTTATCAATCTGTTGCTCCTGTCTGTTACTATCTTTGTTTATTTTTAGACAGGGTGTCACTGTATAGCCCAGGACAGCCTGCTGGGGTTCCAGGCCCATCATCACATCCAGCTTCTCCTCTCTCAAATACCTGAATACCCTCAGTGTGGCTGGGTTTAAACTCTTCCAATGCTAAATGGAAGGCTGCTGTGGATGGAGATAAGAGTCTAGGATAGAAAGGCATAAGGCAAGCAAACTGGCCACACACACACTCCAGTTAGAACAGACTACCCAGGCTTGCTGGGCTCAGGGGCAGACCTGGACCTTTGTAGGTCATTCTTACTTTATTGGGTTTCCTTTTATTCCATATATGCTTGTTCCACTATTTTGTAATTTCGGCAAGGTCAGAGGTTTAGTTAATCTAAAAATGCTTAGCCATACCTCAAATTGTCTGACTCAAATGTTTTTATCCTTCTGAACATATGCCTAATTTCCACCTACAATTATTTTAAAGATACAGTAAGTCAACTGAAAGGAGAGGTAGGGTATGGGGCTAAAGACTGCCACCACCTTTGGGCATAGCACTGATGAGTTACTCAATGGTGGTGGTTAGGACCAGCTAGTAAGTCTTCCCCAGGAAGGCCTTGCAGCACCTAAGGCATTACTGGTACACCAGCTCAAAGTCAGAGTCATTGCCATAATAGGGATCTTCAATAGTGAGTTGTTTCTGTGAATCATAGCTTCCAAGTAGCTCAATTTTAGCTTTACAGTTTTTAACTTGATTACTTTTTCTATTCAAATCTCTCAGATTGCTTTCATCCATACATAGTATATAACCGAATGTTGCAAAGTCTTCTTTTGTAATCTGCCGTGCAACGTGTTGCATGTGGATGCCATGTTTTCTCATGCCCTCAATAGTCAGGGGAGTTCCCCACTTCATAGGTAGATGTAGTCACACTGTCTATCCTCCAATTATCTGAAACTTTTACATCAGTTACCAATTTTCTGAACACTGCTTCTGCAATGGGTGACCGGCAAATGTTACCAAGATACAGGAACAGCACTGACTTGGACCCAACCTCTGCCATGTTTTGGTGCAGACCCTGGCACCCAGAAACCATGTAGGCAGAAAACTCAAATCTTCTGGGTGTTCATGCACATATGTTTGCATGTGTGCAGGCCATAGGTCAATGCAGGTGTCTCCCTCATCTGATCATTCTCTCTCTCTCTTTTTTTTTTTAAAATGTGTAACTCTACCTATGGTAGTTTGAATGAGAATGGGCCCCAAAGGCCCATATATTTGAATGCTTAGTCATCAAAGAGTGGAACTATTTCAAAGAAATATGAGGTGTGGCCTTTTTGGAGGAAGTGTGTCATTAGAGGTAGATTTTGAGGTTTCAAAAGTCTACAGCTAGCCTAGTATCTATCTCTGTGTCTACAGATCAGGATGTAAAGCTCCCAGCTATTGCTCCAACTCTTACCTGCCTGCTGGGTCCATACTCCCAACCATGAGAATGATGTTAGCTCTTAATTAATGCTTTCTCTTGGCTGCATTGCCACACCTAATTCTTTATGTGGTTGTTAGGACTTGAGGACTCAGGTCCTCAAGGGTGCACAGCAAGAATTTTACTGACTGAGCCATCTCCACAGCCACTGACATCTTTGTAGATGTAAATGGTGACTACTGAAAAAAACTATCATTTAATTTATTATCAATGCTCACGTTTGTATTATAAATGTGTCACAAGTGTTTAATAGTACTTTAATATATTTTTTAATATTATTGCAAAACAGACCAACAAACTTTACTTGTATTTCTATATAGGCACATCAATGGTCAGAATTTTAAAGTAATGACTTACTAGATGATTAAAATTACAAATTAACTATAGCAGGTATAACTGAAGATTGCTAGTTAGAATATAGAACTGTTAGGATTAGGATATAGTAATCTCAAAAATTATGTATCTTTAATCCTACTACAGAAAATTCAAATAAAATAACATATAAATACATTCTAGCTGGGCAGTGGTGGCACACGCCTTTAATCCCAGCACTTGGGAGGCAGAGGCAGGAGGATTTCTGAGTTTGAGGCCAGCCTTGTCTACAGAGTGAGTTACAGGACAGCCAGGACTACACAGAAACCCTGTCTCGAAAAAAACAAAAATAAAGAAAACCATTCTATATACTGTCAAGATAATGTCCACCCTCCAGTATATGATCACTGAAAAACTCCACTGCATACTAGCAGCAAATAACAGTGAGAAAAAGGTAAACATTATCTTAGCATTAATATATTAATTTTGCCACAAGAAGGATAGGAAATCCCTGAAACTCTGCAGACACATCACTTTTCACACAGAACTAAAATTGTTTTTGTTTTTTTGAGACAAGGTTTCTCTGTATAGCCCTGGCTGTCCTGGAACTCACTCTGTAGATCAGGCTGGCCCCAAACTCAAGAGATCAGCCTGCCTCTGCCTCCTGAATGCTGGGACTACCACCACTTGGCTTAAAGACTGGAAAGGATAGAGAATCCCAAAACTAAAGACAGCAGACAAGAGACTGTAGGCTTCCTGTTCTGTCTAGCACTCACAGCCCTAGGCAGAGGTGAAGACCCAGGAGAGCTGAAACACATACCCAAAGAGATAGTGCTTCTGAGCAGGCTCTAAGAGGAAGGGCTCCTACATGAGATTATAGAAAGCAAGACAGCTGAAGACTCAGCATACAGAAGCCTAGGATGCCGTTACAAAACTCCTGCTTAGAACTGTACCTAACATCTAAAATTACTTTGATCAAAATCTTCCTTAGATTTCATAATGGGAGAAAATCTTTACCAGCCACACTTCACACAGGGATTAATATCTAGAATATATAAAGAATTATAAAAGTAAACACTTAGAAAATCCAAACTGCGGATTCTGCAGATTCAAACTAAACAGAGAATTCTCAAAAGGAGAAATACAAATGGCTAATACAAGTTTTAAAAAGTATTCAACATCCTTAGTTACTAGGGAAATGCAAATTAAAACTATTTTGAGATTAATCTTATCCCAGTCAGGATAGCTACCATCAAGAAAACAAATGACGATGCTGGGTGGTGGGGTGGTGGTGCACACTTCTAACCCCAGCACTCTGGAGGCAGAGATGCTGGAGGTAGGTCTCTGAGTTTGAGGCCAGTCTGGTCTACATAGTGTGTTCCAGGACAGCCAGGGCTACACAGAGGAAAGAGGAACTTTTACTTACTGTTGTTCTGAGCAGAAATTAGTATGGAGGTTTCTCAAAAGAATAAAGTTATGGGGCTGAAGAGATGGCTAAAAGCATACTCTGTTCTCTCCAAGGACCTGAGAACAGTTCACACAACCCATATAGAAGGCAGATTCAACTGTAACTCCAGCTCTAGGAGACTGATACCCTCTCTTCAACATTTCAGGTACTCTCATACATGTGGCAAATACAAGTATATGAACAAAAAAATAAAATTAAAAACAAAACTAAAACTTGGACTGCTACATGACCCTTTATGTCACTCCTAGGACACAGCTACACACAGGATGCCCAGTACAGAGACAGAGAGACGCACATCCACGCTTACTGCTCCATCACTCGCAACAGCAAGAAGGGGGAACAAGACGAGTCAAGTCGGCATCAAAGGATGGGTGTGAAAAAGTGGTCCACAGTGGCGCACACCTGAATTATAACATTTAGATGGCTAAAGTAGAAGTATTGTCACAAGTTCAAAGCTACCTTGGGCTACACAGTTCATTCTACCTCAGTGAGACTGTGTCTCAAAATACAAAAAGAAAAGGAAATGGCAGGAAAACGTTCTCTCATGTGTAGATCCTAGTTCTGTGTGTGTACATGCTTATATTCATGTGTATGGGGTGGGGACAAGTGTAGGTCGCGAAACTAGAAAGAGAACCATAAGGGGCAAAGGAAAGCCTTAAGGAAAGGGGAAATTTCAAAAGGGTTAGGGTTAGGGTTAGGGGTAATAGAATAAACATAATCTGAGCCAGGCAGTGGTGGCACATGCCTTTAAGCCCAGCACTCGGGAGGCAGAGACAGGCAGAACTCTATGAGTTCTAGGATGGCCAGGGTCACACAGAGAAACCCAGTCTCAACAAAACAAAACAAAACAAAACAAAACAAAACAAAACAAAACGAGAATACATGTAATCTGAAAGTGGAAAGGATACTACTGGGGGTAGGAGGAGTACATATCTGTGGGTGGCAAGGGAGAATCAATAAAAAAGAACCACATATGGGAATACTATAATGAAACCATGTTAATTAAAAGATGAACAAATAAGGAGCTGAAGACACAGCTCAGCCTTTAAGAGCATTTACAGTTCTTCTAAAGGACCTGAGGTCAGATCCCAGTAACCATGCCGTGTGGCTCACAAACATCTGTAACTCCAGCTCCAGGGGACCAACACTTCTGGCCTCCTCACATACCTGCACTCATGTAAATAAACACACACATGCACTTAACTTTTTTAAAAATCTTTTTTAAAATAATAAATAAAAATAGAGCAAAATCAAAAATCCTTTTCTCCTATCCTTAATAGTACTAGCACCTTAGGAAAGAAGGAGTTAAGGACAAACTTCTCAGGATGGTAGATTATTTCTAGGAGCCAATATCTACATTTAATTGTTCTAGAGAAAATACATTTTGGAGGTAAGTCAGTCTAGTCTTAGCCAACTGCATCCCTCAGGAAAAGCAACTAAGGGTTCTCCTCCTCCTCCTCTTCCTCTTCCTCTTCTTCCTCCTCCTCCTCACAAACCTCCTGAGTCTTAAACATTCTTCCCGCCTGCCTTAACAAGCCTTCAGTTTTTCTCCTCCCATTACACTCAAATATATATTCCTGAGAGAGCTCATTGCCATAAAAAAATGTTGAAGTGTAATGGGGATAGATATGCTCAAAGTATATTATTATATACATGTATAAAATTGTCAGAGAATAAACTTAAAGGTAAAAGCATAAAACTTCTAGAAGAAAAAAGTCAGGCCTCATGGTGCACACCTTTAATCCTAATTTGGAGGGCAGAGGCAAGCAGATTTGTATCAGTTTGAGGCCGTGTAGTCTACATAATGGCCTTGTCAAAAAGGTCTTTTGACCTTGCCAAAAAAAAAAAAGGGGGGGGGTGCCAGGTAAAAATACTAAAGCCCTTTCAGACTCAAATTTAAAACAGGAACCAGCTGAATGGACATTGTAAAGTTACAACAATGAAACAAAACCCATCAACAGACTGAAGAAATATGCTGAAGAAAATGTTGGCAGAATAGAGAATGGCTTTCATATATATGAATATTAAAATCAATTTATAAAGATGTAAAAATGTGTAAAAAAAAAAACTGTCAAAAAAAACAATGTAATTCAAGCCCCATTCCTGAGGTAGGACAACTTGGGAACTTTGTTTCTTTGAAAAGCACTGGAGAGGTGAGACAAGGACAACTAACCCAGCCCATGTCTGCTCCCCACGCATCCTATATTCTAGACAGGGCTGCTGATGCCTATAGTTCTTACCAAGGGTTTCCACCGGCTTGCTTTTCCAATAACAACCTTTTTTCATCTTCTGAAAACTGTAAGTCTAGTTCAAAAGAGTTAGTGTCCAAATCATGGATGTACTGCTCTATGTTGCTGCCCGACCTCTGGGGCAGGCTGGCATCCACCGTAGACAGGGAGTGGGAAGAGGAGGAGGATGACACCTGCATGCAGCCAAACTGGCTCAGGAGATTGTCGTACTGCAGGGAAGAAGGAGAAGAGAAAGCTGCCTTAATTTGTCTTTAAGGCCAAAGACCCCTCCCACATTGCCTGGCCCCCACAGCCACTCATAACCTGGCAAGCTTACATTCACTTCAAAGGCAGATGGACTGCCTGTACCGATGTATATAGACAGATTCTTTTCCAATGGCTATTGGACCACTGGACCAAGGCAAGGCTGGACCTTCTGCTACAGGTTCCTCTTCTGATAGAAACAGAGTTCAAAGAGGGGCTATACCAAATCCTTCATCTCCAGGGAAAAAGAATCTGGCACCTCATCAAGCACAGCACCCCAAGCCATGCCTCTGGAGGGAACTCAGTCCAGGGGTCTTAGGTTTTATAGTCACTGTATAGCTTGATTTAGCTTACATTTGTTTTTTAAAATCCAAGTCAGTGTTGACACAGAAAGCAGAACTATTCACAACATGCCATGAGGGCAGTCAACATTCTATCTAGCACACTCCCAAGCAATGACACGGCGAAGATTTTTGAACATGCTAAAGTTAGGTATGGCCACCCTGGGCAGATAGCTAGGCTGGGTGCAAGCCTCACCCTCCTGAGCCCTACCTTCTATATCCTGAGTTTCCAGAAGAGCCCTGGCTACTAATCTACAGAGATCAGCCTCTACCCCCTGCAGATTCTACAAGCCCTGTGTCCACCACCTCCTTGCTATTGCTCAGTGGCCCTCTGCACGTTTTATGCTTACACAGCCCACAGCAGTCACAGCTCCATCTTGCTGACTTCAGATTCACATGCCAGCATTGTCTCCACTTCCCTCATGAAGGTTCCCCAGTGAGATGAATGATGTCTCTGCTTCAATTCATAGGGATGACTATCATACTTCTACTGGAGGGAGAGGTGTCCCCCACAAAACTTTCAGAGCCAGTACGTGGCTTCAATTTCTGACACAGAAACTGAAGCTCAGAGTCACTTTCCTCTAGCCAACTCTGAATTTAAAACCAGCACAAAGCTGCCTCTCCATATCCCTGAGCTGCTCCAACCATGTAGAAGGAGTACCTTCAGTGTAGACTTCATCTGTTACAGCACTCCCCAGGCCCAGTCTCACTATCTAAAGGTTACCTTTGGTACAGGAAGCTATCTGCCTAGATTCTTATACAGCCCTTAAACTGTACTGAAAGAGCTGAGCAGCTACCCAACAAAATCAAATTGCTGCCACTAAGAACCAGATTATACAGGTAGAAGTCAAAGCTTTCAATATAAAAAGCCATGTCCTCAGCAGTGCACAGCAGGCCTACAGAGATGCTTGGATGCATGTATGTGTACAAATACACACGAAGAAACAGTCCTGACTGTTGAGATTGAAGATAATAGAGTTTATGCTTTCCTCAAAAAAATAGCTGCCCTTGGAAGTGATGGGGAAGAAGGCATAGAGACCATAAGCTGAAGGACTGCCTCCCATTCCTGGTTAACTTCTGCAAGGATCAGAGTCCTAGTAGAGACGATTCCACCAGCACCCCATGACATGATCCAAAAGGACACCACTCATGAGCATTTAAGAGGGTTTGGGGGTAGGGGCAGGAAATCCTGGCTCAGGGCCTACGTTCTCTGCAGGAAGCACACTAAACAGAAACTGATCAATGTCAGTATAGACACACTTGAGTTTCATTCCCTAAAAATCTGGGCACAAAGAACATTTTAGGAAAAAAATGGAGATGTGCCAAATAGCAATGGCTTTAATTCAGCTTTAGAAGACCTTCTTTGTTCGGGTTTTCTGTTTGTTTTGTTCTGAGTCAGTGCCTACCTTTGTAGCCAGACTGACCATGAACTTTCAATATTGTATTTACTATTTTATGTACACAGGACTTTTCCTTGCACATCTGTCTGTCTATCTGTCCGTCCATCCACCCATCCATCTATCGAGAAAGAGATAGATAGATAGATAGATAGATAGATAGACAGATAGATAGATAGATAGATGGATGGATGCACCATGTGTGTGCCTAGTGCTCCCAGAGGGCAGAAAAGGTGTTGGATCTTCTGGGACTGAAATTACAGATAGTCGTGAGCGAACTTGTGGTTGCTAGGAATCAAACTCATAATGGCTAGAAGGAAAGAAAGTTCTCTTAACCACTGAGTCATCTCTCCAGTTCCAGCTTTCAATCTTCTTGCCTTACCATTTTCAATGCTGAGATCACACCCCTTTGCCCCCAACCCTGGCTGCTCTGGAAGGCTTTTAGGTAAATGTTAGAATTGCTCAGTCGGTTGAACAGAATTCTACACATGGCAACTGGTTAGAATAAGCCAAGAAAACAGAAATCAAATGAGGAAAACTGACTTAAATCAATGAACTAGAAGAAAGCAATCACAAGTGGGAAGGGAGGGAGGGACCTTGGAGGGAAAGTGGATGGGGGTTGTGGGGAGAGGGGAACCTGATCTGGTATTGGGTGTGGGAAAAGGACCAAAGCCCTGAGAGCCAGCAGAAAGAATGGAAACAGGCAACCTCTAGAGGCAGAAGGTTGGAGGGACCCTTCAGAATGCACCAGAGATCTGGGAGATCTCTCAGGACTCAAAGGGAGGGACCATAGATGAAATGCCTGACAGTAGGGAGAGGGAACTTATAGAGCCCACCTCCAGCAGGAGGGAGGGGGTTGCAATCCCACAGTCAAAACTCTTGACTCATAATTGTTCCTGTCTGAAAGAACTACAGGGATGGAAATGGAGAGGAGCCTGAGGAAAAGAAGGTCCAGTGACAGGCCCAAAGTGGGATCCAGCTCAGGGGGAGGTCTGACACTATTACTGAGGCGAATGCTCTCAAAAAGGGACCTATCATGGCTGCCCTCCAAAAGAACCAACAAGCAGCTGAAAGAGTCAGATGCAGATATTTGCACCCAACCAATGGACAGAAGTTGCTGACCCCTGTGGTTGAATTAGGGAAAGGCTGAAAGAAGTTGAGAAGGAAGACGACACTGTAGGAGGACCAGCAGCCTCAGTTAATCTGGACCCCTGAAATCTCGCAAACACTGGACCACCAAACAGGCAGCATATACCAGCTGATATGAGGCCCCCAACACATACACAGCAGAAGATTGCCGTGTCTGTGTTCAGAGATGATGCACCTAACCCTCAAGAGACTGGATGCCCCTGGGAGTTTAGAGGTCAGGTAGGGTCAAGAGTGGGAACAGCCTCATGGAGACAGGTGGTGGGTGGAGGTATGGGATGTGGAACAGTTGGAGGGTGGACAGGAAGTTGGGGGGTGGGGAGAATAACATCTGGAATGTAAATAAATATAAACAAATATAAAGGTCATAATGAAAGAAGAGTCTGGGTAAGAAAGACTGAAACCATGGAAGCATGCTGTGGTTTCTTTTATCTGTTTCTTTTGCTGCTATTTCCCATTTATCAAGAGAGAAAGTTTTAAGAACAAAGTATATTTAAGGACTGTGTCTGTTTTCAATTCTTCAGAGACAAGCTGCCTTGAAGCCAGTGACAGCAACTGGCCACAAACCTAGGTGGTTCCTCTGGGAAGAGAGTAGGCACCTACTGCTGAGCATCAAGCTATAGGGACTGCAGTCTACCCTCCACATCACATCCCTGGAAACTCAAAATCAGTAGCATTCTGGGTTCTCTTGGAAAGATGAAAAGCATTCCAGAGCATTAAAAAAAAAATCAGAAAAGTTCTGAGCCAAAAGATAGCAATGATGAGCTTCCAAAAGACCCAGTGTCAGGAGGTGAGGGATTATGGCAGGGCACTGGTCTCTCAGCTACAGGTCCAGACCACATCCTGCCTCCCTTCTATCTAGCTGATGAGGTAAAAGCTCATCAGCTGAGGAAATAAGTACAGGGATCAGCGTACCCAAGGTGTGCTGGTCATTTACGACTTTGCAGTAAAGCAGTCAACCGTCACCAAGTCCACAGTACTCACTCACACATTCTAACCAGTAATAACACAAACTAAGGTCCCAAGGAGTCATAGTCACACAGCATGGCAAGCAGGATTCCTCTCTGCCTGGGTTCCCCCCCATGTGTGCCAGCTTACATTGCCATAGCAGTCTTCATCATCTTCTGACATGGCTGGCAAGTAAGCTGTGAGCTTCGGAGGTGTCTGCTGATGCAAATTCTCCCATGTGATGGACTCAAAGAATGGATGAGCTTTGAGAGGCCCGTACCCTTCCATCTCTTCACAGCCTAAACGCTTTGTGGCATCTAAAACCTTAAATGATAGCCAAGATATGTCACTGTAAGGACTGAAATGTAATTACTTGTTTATTTTGTGGAAGTGTTTCTAAGCCCTGAGGTCTCCTGGAAAGAATAGGGACACTGTGGTCCATCCCCTGTTCATGAGGCCTGTTCATGCCATGGCAGAAAAAGCCAAGGTTGACTAGGATTCTTGCCTCAGACCAAGGTTCTGCCCCTTTCTTCCCACAGGTAAAAACAAATCTCAACCTCCAAACACAGAGGGCAACAAGTATCTTTTTAAAGCCCAAAGCTCAAAATGTCATAAAATGATGTTGCCTCTGGTAGGTTGACTATACACAAGGCAGGCCCCACTCCCAAGACTAGCTGGGCAACCTAAGCTGGACTTGATGGGGGAAAAGGGGACAAAAGGAGGAAGGAGGGGGGAGGGAAGAAGGAAGGAGACATCCCAAAGCTGGGAAAGGATTGAGGGTGCAATAATGGAGGGAGTTAGGGAGCATATATGTTGAAAATACAATTCTCAAAGAATAAAAATATTATTTAAAAAAAATAGAGAAAGAAATACTACTGAAAACAAAGCAAAAATGCTGCTGGGTGGGTGGGATGGGCTTAGGAGTGACTGTGCCACAGTCTCTACAGAGGGAAATGGAGGAAGAGTCCAGAAGGATGGCTGAGAAGCAGCAGCCCAGGCCTACCCATGAATATACAACTGGCCCTGATTCCTAAAGAATTAGGAAGGAAGCAAACAGGGCTGAGATCCACAGCTCCTGAACATAAAATGGCACATCCTTCTAGGGTAAATCTCTTTCTCTTGCCTTGTTACCTTGATCTTTAAAGTCTTCATGTAGCTTACACTCTAAAGTTGGCATTGGCAGATGTCACTGAAGTAAGATTTACAGCTATCTGTCCCTGGGATAAACCCAGGCACTCAGTGGCAATCACTTAAAAATGTGATGTGATGTTAACAAACATATGGAAAATAATACAGTCATTTCCTGTCTTATTAAAGTCAAGAATTAGGCACCGGAAAAGTAAAAGGGGATATAACGAGATAAGATAAAAATATTTGACTATTTGACTATATAACCACTGTATACCTTAAACACATCTTTCAAAAGAATACCCAAGAAAATTCAAAATACTTACCAAGAGTTTTTCCACAAGATCTCTTGCCTTAGGGAAGAATTTTTCTGGGAAATCATATTCCAGCTTAATAATCTTCTGAAATATAAGATATTCATTTCTATGGATTAAAAAAAAAAAGCTGTTATTTGGGCAAGCGTTTTTCAAATCTCTCTAGTACTTTTATAGTACTTGTACTTTTATAGAACAACCCAAAGTCACCCTCACCTCCCAGGCCCGATATTACTAAAGGTCCCAAGTAGCACACATTCATAAGTTGTGATGAAGTTCTGCCCCAACTGGGCACAACCAGTAGCTGTTGGCAGTGGGGTATGTGGTGATAAGCTCAGAAGCCTGAGATGTACAGGATCCCTCTTACCCAGCTCTGAATGGTGGGAGTCCTGCCACAAGCTGATAGATGATACATCCAAGGGCCCAAAGGTCTGAACTTTAAGGTAGAGAAAACACAAAGAAAAATGGCATTGGTATAATTTAAATGACAAATGAGGTTCATTTTACAGTCTCTGTCTATTCCACCCTAGGTTCAGCCTCCAATTTATTCCTATTCCTTAAGACCAGGGATGTTAGAAGTCTGAGTTTGCTTTTCTGGGCATCTCCCTGTGACCTGAGTCAAATAGTACTATACTTGACAGGAACAACTACCAAGTGGTTCATCTCCCCTGTAGATGTCACTTCTATCGCAGGTTGACAATTTCTACATGTGTCCCTTTCTCATTCTGAAAGGATAACATAATTCACTACCAACATGCTTCCATGCCAGGCTGCTGCAGATCAGGTAAGGTGGAGCTGAACATAAATGCTAACCACAACTTCAGGACATTTGAGGGAGACGCTCCTAGTGCTAGGCAATGGGGCTGGGAGAGACAGGGTTGTCACTGTAAGGTGAAATGCTATGATTACCTCACATGTTCTAAGGTGTGAGAGCTGGATGCTTGTGAGTCTCAAAAGGACCTTCCCAGGATGTATACAAGATACGATCTGAACCCTGCCCCTCCCTTTTTGGACTCTGTTAAACAAAGTCCTGCTCCTCTTCTAAAAACACCTAGACTAGTAGTAGGGCTAGTTGGCGCACGCCTTTAATCCCAGCATTTGAGGCAGAGGCAGGTAGATCTCTGAGTTCAAGGCTAGCCTTGTTTACAAACTGAGTTCCAGGACAGCCAGGCTGTCTCAAAAAAACTAACACAAAAAAAATTTAAGACTGTCCATTTTATTTGTAATTAGTCTGTCTTTTTTTTTTTTTTTTTTGGTTTTTCAAGACAGGGTTTCTCTGTATAGCCCTGGCTGTCCTGGAACTCACTCTGTAGACAAGGCTGGCCTCAAACTCAGAAATCCGCCTGCCTCTGCCTCCCAAGTCCTGGGATTAAAGGCGTGCACTACCACCACCCGGCAAGTCTTTTTTTTTCTTGAGAGAGGTTCTTACTACACTGCTCAAGCTGACCTCAAACTCCCGAGAGTCTCAATCCATCCTCTTGTCTCAGCCTTACAGGTGTACCATTCTGAATGTCTCTTAGTTTCCTCAATATAGCTAGATGTCACAGATGCCCAACTATCAGGAGCCTTGAGGTTGGCCCCTCTCCTGTCAAAACGCTCTCCTGGAATGTCCAGCTTTCCTGTGCTCTCCTGAGTCACTGAGATGACATCATATACCTGATTTTGCTTTCCATTCTCAACTATCCCCAAGTACTAGCTGTATGCAGTTTTTGTGGGCTGCTAGCAGTAATTTGGCATCATAGGATATGAACAACAACCACCACTTAAGACAACATCGCAGGCACAAAATCAAATCTTGCAGCCAAGCTCTATCCTTGCCAAGATGTCACTAGCACTTACCGGCCAGGGACAGGTAAGGCCCTGAGATTGATCACAATTCTAAAAATTAGAAATCTGAGGTACAGACTAATAGTGTGAAGGAATAAAAAATTATTTTACATATAACTGGTAGCTACTTTGGAGAGGGCTATTTGTTTGCATTTAGTTTTTGAGACAAAATCTTATCCAGCTCAGTATGGCCTAGAACTACTGTTAGAGCTAAAGACTCAGGCCTGATCTTGCTCCTACCTCAACTGCTAGAAGAAAAAATTATGTACTACCATGCCCACCTTACTATTTATGTGTGTGTGTATTTATTTTACTTTGTGTATATTTTGACTGTATGTATGTATGTATTTGCACCACGTGCATACAATGCCTTTGTAGGCCAGAAGAGGGCTTCAGACATTCTGTGACTGGGTTTGTGGACCACCAAGTGGGAGCTAAAAACTGAACCTAGGCCTTCTGGAACAACAATCAGTGCTCTTAACCACTGAGCCATCTCTGCAGCCCTAACTTACTATTTTCTGTGACTGGTTTTTCATATCAAAGAAAAAGCAAATGTTAAAGAAAAAAAAAATGTCTTTGGGTCTCACTATGTATCTCTGGCTGGTCTGGTCTAGAACTTGCTATATAGACTAAAATGGCTTTGAACTCAGAAATATACCTGCCTCTGACTTGGAGTATTGGAATTAAAGGCATGCACCATTAAATCTAATCATTTTTGTTTGTTTAAGTACAAGGTTTTACCATGTACCCCAGTCTGAATTTGTACTCATGATCCTCCTAACTCATCCTCTGAGATGCTGGGATCATGAGGGATTGATTGCTGTGCCAGGCTCACACTTCACTCATTAAGACCTATTGACGTCTCTCTTCCAAACAGTAATTCCTTATGGTAAACCTAGTAGATATCACAGAGAGAAGAGAAGGGCAGTTTTAGTAAACACAAGTTACCTTTTACACGCCGACTTCTCTGTGAGCAGCTCTGGAGAAACATACTGTGCTGTTCCTACAAATGAGTTGGCCCTGGCTAAAAAGTGGGGGAGGGGGGAGAAGAAATGTCACACTTGAAAATGCAATCCGTGGCCCTCCCACCACACTGCCCTTTCTTGTATATTCTTCAAGATGTCCACATCCAACTATATAGATGGAAGCTGGTCATCAGCTTAGCTGGTCACCTGGAAGAGACTGAGCCATCAAAGGCACCTTACCCAAGGATACCTACTAGACCCTATCCACCTGGCACCTTCTACCTAACACCCAACTGCAGGAGGTATTCATCATATTCATCCATCATCTTGTCACTAAAGCAAAGCAATGTGAGGTAAGGGTCCTGTCCATGGTACACATCACTGGACCTGTGGCACCTAAGTATACATAGAACACACACCAGGCAAAACCAAACAGCCACAGATCAGAAACCATCCTCTTTTTAGTCACCACTAGTTTTGGTATTGAGGATACTAGGGCAATGAGACTCAGGCTTCTAGCCCAGGGACCCTCTACACTCCAGTGCCTGTAATCCTGGCCCAGGAGATACCATCTGCAAGCTAAGGGTGATACCATCTGCTCTGAACCAACATCAGAGGTCTACCTCCCATTCACTTCAGGCTCCTGAGGAACATGACAACTCCACTTCCATGTGGCAGATAGAGCAGGGCTACATTTTTATACTTTTTAAAGTAGTTACAGAGTAATAAGATTAGTGTTATGCTGAATCATCAAATTCTGAAGAAAATCTACACAAAGAAAGAAATGCCCAAAGCACAGCCCAGCTAAACAGCTCAGTCAGGATCACATATACATCCTAGATCCAGGTTTTAGTCAGGAAAAGTCAGCATAGGCATGATGGGAAAAAAGACAGACTCTCCCAACAAGAAAGAGTTAAGAGATGGGAAGGTTATTTGGTTCCGCTTGTTATAAAGTCAGCGTCATTGGACAAACAGATGACTACTACTTACTAGGAATGAGTCAATCAGATGCAGGCATCAGGGCATCTCAGCTGCCCAGTGAAAGAAGGGGCAGCAAGGGCACAGTACTATACCATCTGTGGAAGTCTCTTACCTCAAAGACAAGGCTTGCTATCCCCAAAAGGTGGTGTAAATATGTTACCAGTACAGAAGGAGTGTACAGAGGTAAAGAACACACATGGGAACAGCAAAGTCCCATGAAGGGAAGCTGACAGGCCATCTCCTGCAGCACCATGTGAACAAAACCTGTTTCACTACCTGGACTCTCTATTTTAACCCCAGCTGCAATCATCTCTGGCTCCCACCTCCTGGCTTGCTATTTGTGGAGACAGGCCAGAAGTCTACTGCACTGTGCTCTTGCATGCTCTTTTCCAAAAAGTAGCCATAGCCATAGCCATAAAAGCACATACTACAAAGTTCTTATCAACTCTTCCTTCCACTAACACAACTGCTCCAAGCCTGTGGCCAACCATATCGCACAGTACCTTCCTTAATAGTCTCTCTCTCACATTGAGACCCTAAGTATATATAGGCTAAAAGACCAGGCAGCTCTGAAGAATCACATGCATCTTAGGATCAGAGATCCTTTACAAGGTCATGATGAACTTTCCAGCTTTCCTTCCCCCCAGAAGCATCATTAATGGATTACTGTCTCTACTAATGCTATGGCACAGTCCTCATGTGTCTAATTGTTCTCTTTTCTATACCTCCAGATGGGCAGTTTTTCTATTTCCTGAAGATGTTAGTGACAAGCCATCCTACTTTTCTGGACCAAAAAGATTCCCAACAGCACCTCCCCGATAGTAAAGGCATTAGAAGGTGATCCAACACTATATGCTAACTCTGAACAGGACTTGGAAAGTTAGTGATTATAAACAGGTAAAATTTTCCTAGAACCTTCCTTAGGCTGCCTGGGCCATCACAGGCAGCTGTACCTATCAGATGAGGAGACAGGATAAGTGAGAAGAAGGCAATGGAATCTAGGATGTGCTCCACAAGACACCACTTGCAATGTATACATATATAGGTGCCACGACTCTACCCTCAGTTCACAAATGACTGACATGATGTTCTATGGAGTTGGTCCATCCCCTACTACTAGAGTCACAAACTGAACAAAAGGAGCCAAAAGGAATCTGTGTATTAGTGATAACGACTATACAAGGTAACATGTGGCTCAGAGTTGCTCTCAACCTTAAGCTCAGAACAGGGCTCTGTTAAAAAAATAAAAAATAAAAAAATAAAAAAATAAAACAAACACACCTTGTTTGCTCTCTGGGGATAACACTTTTGCTGTTCCAAAATCTGTGATCTGGATGTGCATGTCTTCGTTTAACAAAATGTTTTCTGGTTTAAGGTCTCTGTAAAAGAATTTTAACTTTGAGACGAAATGTTTAAAAGTAGCAGCATTATCACATGCTCAGCATTTTGATAGAAACAAAACAAAATGATGAATCTTGACCTTTACAAGACTAAAAACCAAGAACACAAGCCCGAAGTTCACTTCAAACAAGCATCAACAGCACAGGATACAGGCACTTCAAAATAATTTTAAAATTGTATCACTGTATCTTTATAAAACAGGTGAGTTGTTACAAACTTAACTCTGGCTTCCAATGGTCAAAGTTGCTTGCTTCGTCTACCACTTTTTTTTTGTTTGTTTGTTTGTTTGTTTTTTTTATTTTAAAGATTTTATTTATTTATTTATTTATTTATTTATTTAATGTATGTGAATACACTGTCGCTGTCTTCAGACACACCAGAAGAGGGCATTGGATTCCATTACAGATGGTTGTGAGCCACCATGTGGTTGCTGGGAATTGAACTTGGGACCTCTAGAAGAGCAGTCAGTGCTCTTAACCACCAAGCCATCTCTCCAGCCCCTCGTCTACCACTTTTAGTGACATATTATAGAGCTTACTTTCTTAGTTCATAAAGCACAGTTCTAATTTGCCTTTTATCAAAATGAATATAAATGTGACCAGAATTCAATAAATAAAAAGTTGCAGCTGACAAAATAAAAAGCACCAAATATCTAAGCTGCTAGTGTCATAGGAAGACACCTCACCCAAGTTGAACTGATGATTTAGACAAACTTTCAAAGTGCAAGGTCCTTTTACTTCCAGCCTGTTTACAGCTTTCTCAGTGAGCCACCATCTGAAAATACCTACATCATAATTTGTATAAGGCCAGCCAATGCCAACCCCGGAGGACCGGTGTGGATTCCTTGTACACGTCAGAGCCTCTGGCCCCCATCATCACAGGAACTGCGCTATACACACCATCTGGGGCAGTGTCCATTACCTGTGAATGATGCCCTTGCCATGCAAGTACTCTAAAGCAGACACAATCTCAGCTGTGTAAAATCGGGTACAGGTCTCATCAAATGAACCAATTTTGCGGATGTATTTAAGTAGCTCTCCATTTTTGGCATAACTAAGGCCAAAATCTGAATATTTTGTGGTTAAGGAAGAATGGAAAAATATATTTTTTCTAAAAATTAACCTTAAAAGAACTTTCTTTTTATCAAATACAAACTGAAGGTACCCGTGCTCCAAGATAAGTTGCCTTTTTTGGGGTCAGATCCAGGCCCCAGCTCCAAGACCAGGTGCAAGCACAGAATTTCTAAGATACAGTCCCTGAAAAAACACGAACAGCACCTTTTAAGCCCAGGTGCACTTCTAGACAAATGGTCCCCTGTGGCCTATGAAAGGAAGCCTCTAGATGGCTACTGGATCCATAGACCAGGGCCACGGCATCAACATGTGGGCGGCTTTACAGTGCAGAAGAGCACAGTTCTAAAGATTGAGTCCTAACAGAACCCCAAATGACAGCCACCACTGTGAGCCCTGCCTGAACTTTCAGTATTCCATGGACTGAGCTAACTGTCCTTCTAGGCATAAAAGTGTCATGCTTCATAACAATTTTAGTTTTCCAATTCACTTGATCTATTTGTGAAACACCTGCTGGGGAGATGAGAAATAACTACCCCTGGCACCTCCATGCTGCAATGTGTTCTGCTCATGTTTCCCTTCTTTGAAGGGGACTGAAGACTGACAGAAAACATCTCCAAATGATTACTTTTCTCCAAAGCACTAAACATTTGTGTTTCTTACTGAAAATCTCCAGGTACCGAACCTCTCTGGCAGCCTGGGCCACAAGGCCAGATGCTGACTAAACTCAGTGGCAATGCTGAGGCCAACCTTGAAATTCATACAAGAAGCCAAGGTGGACTTCTGGCTCTTTTCTGGCTTTTGTCTGCAAGGCACTGCTATCAACAACTAAGGAAGAAGCCCGAAGCCCTAGGTAAGGAAACAACCCAGAAGAGACGGGACTACAACTAAAGCTGGTAAAGATGCCCCTGGCAGGGCCATCTCTGATAACCTGTGCCTCTCAACTCAAAGTCTGACAGAGACCTGAAACATGTACTATGGAGAATAAAGAGGGTCTTAGGCCAAGCTACATCCTGTCTGCTCCCTCAGAAGCATTGTCCTGGATGGCTTTGTGTCAGCTTGACACAAGTCATCTGGGAAGACAGACTCTCAATTGGAAAGCTACTTTGTTAAGATTTGCCTGTAGGCGTCAAGTCTCTAGTGCATTTTCTGAATTAGTGATTGGTGTGGGAAGGCCTAGCTCATTTTGGGTGGTACCATCCCTGGGAAAGTGATCTTGAGGTGTACAGGCTAAGCAAGCCATGGGGAGCAAGACAGTAAGCAGTATTCCTCCATGGCTTCTGCAACAGCTCCTGTCTTGAGGTTTTTGCCCTGATTTACTGTCTTGACATTCCTTAGTGAAGGACTGTGGTGTGAAACTTTAAGCTGAAATAAACCCTTTCCTCTCCAAGTTGTTCATGGTCATGGTGTTTTATTACGGCAACAGAAACACTAAGACATGCCATGGAGCCACCAGTTCTGGCCTAACAGAAGTTGACAGAAGGGCCTCACTAATTAGAAGCCTGGATATAAGGCCACACTTTTGGTCATGGGGTCAAGAGAACAGGGGATAACTTCTCTTTCTAGCTTCACAGTTTTGCCCTTTATCTGACCCTTCACTGGTTCCTGATTCCTATGACAGGAAAACCTATGGGTCTTAGCTCAGAAGAGAAGCAGAGGCAAGTTGTAGGTCTTAAATATAGCAGGAGCCTGGGATTATTTCTCAGGCTGGTGGTTCTCTGCAATTATATATATCCTTCCCTATTACAAAATGTCCTTGTAAACCTCATCAATATAACATGCATCCTAAGAACATCCTCCACTCCCTTGGCCATAGTCAGCGCTCCAGGGTGGCAAAAGCTGTCACAGACTGGGTGAGCTCCTGGGAGAGCGAGCCTTAACAAGGGCCTTAACAGAGCCAGGGAGTCTAAGAGTCTAATATGTGCAACTGGAGGAACCTGGTTGAGAGGTTAAGCGATTGACTGAAGTTCACAAAGAAAACAATGGACAGGACCAGAACCCAGTCCTCTGGTCAGAAGCAATGGTCCTGACTCTATGCAACAAATGAGGCATCACAAGGACAAGCAGGTGTAGACTGGTCTGGTGGGAACCCAAGATAGTAGGATGGAAAGCACCTGAGTCTGAGACCTCTTGGTTTTCATCTGGGTGTGAAAAGGAAAGTTCCCCACTGTTTAGGCTCTGATCAAGCCAGGACTATGCCAAGGCAGGGAAACCTTATGCTTGACCTAGCCTCTGGACTCACTTTTCCAGGGCCCCATAGTAGTATATATGAACTCTCAGTAGTCCCTGTGTGATCCACCTGTCTGTTTTCAATTTATGGCAAAGGTGTCCCCAGGCTCTGTCTCATTCTCAACCTGCTCTGAATGGGTCTGGGTTCATTCTGAGTCTCTTGACGGTAATGAAAGGAGAACACACAGGACTAGCTCTCCTCTCCTCCACTGAAATTATGACTAAATGAAGGGCAGTGTTATCTCATATCTGGCATTTCTTCTTGCAAAAAGTTTTATCTTTCTTTCATAATATAATGTATAGTAAGGATTATCAGTGAGGCAGAAGTCACTGGATCCCATTCTCATGGTTAGGAGGAGAGATCCTTTGGGTCTTAGACCAAGAACAGTATGTGCCATTAGACAAAGGCCTAGAGTTCTTCCCACCTGAACTGACATGGCCAGTCCCATTTGGAAATTACATAGTAAGAGTACTCTTGTCTGGCTTCTGAGCTCTGATCCTACCACTGTGTCCCCGACAGAAGATAAAGTCAAACATTTGTGATTGACTCTGTCTTGGTTATCTAGTCTTGATGAAATCTGGGTGTCTCAAGGATGCATAGGACTAGAAGACTTGGTTTACAGGTAGTAGAAGTCTGAGGTGGTAAGATCTTTAAGAAGCAGGGTTTACTGACATGTCTGTGGGTCACTGAGCTCCTGAGACTCATTGGTCATTGGTAAGTTCCCAAAGAAGATTGCCATGAAAGAAGCAAACCCAAGCACACCCACTCGACTATACTTCCTGGCTTGAGATGTGATCCTGTCTCCACACATGGTCCACTATCCACTACATACAGGGCTACGCCACGTACCATGCATCCCATCAGGTCACTCAGCCTCCAAACTGTGAACTAAACAAATCTCAAGGCCAATAAAAAACATTGTTCCAAACACTGGCAGAAAAGTTTAGGCCTTTAGACAGGTACAATTCTGGGTCAAAAAATTTTAAGTGTGTGTGTGGTGGTGGGGAGTGAAGAACTCAAGGAGGGGGAACCAGGAAGGGAAGGCAACATTTGGAATATAAATAAATAAAATAATTTAATAATTTAAAAAAGTGTAGGCCTGGGCCTGGACCTCCATCTGGTAGCTACAGATTTCATGGACTCAAAAAGGGGTATTTTCATGCACAGGGGACATAAAAAAGAAATCAACACAGGTTCAGAGAGACATGTAATGAAATATAAAGGGACTACTGACAGCTGCTGTGTGAGCCATGACAGCAGAAGTGGGGGACTAGGGATACTTGAACCAGTAAGCCCAATTTGCTCTAAAGACCATCACCATCAACACATCTGTTCTCCTGGTACATATTAGACCTTCCACCAGTACTCTTTAAGCAGGCCCTCTGGAACGAGCGCATTTGGTCTGTCTCTACTGCCTTGCTTTAGTCATGAACTTTGCCCCCAAGAAACTGCCTGTCCAACTTTCAATAACTTGTTCGTAGGCTAATCCTTTAACAAGGTACAAGGCCACAAACTAGACTGCCTGGCTGGCAACTGTGCAGGCCCCTTATCAGAACCTATATAATCTGTGGCCTCTGAGTCTCCATGCTCCCAGAGGCTTCTTCTAGGTAGTTGGTCAAGTGGGTAACATCTGCATATCATCTCCTCAGAATGGGCCCCCTCAGACCTCGAACAAGCACCACATGCATTAAATGACAAAGTACTCCCATCTAGCCACTGGCCAGTCTCTCTGGGCTCAGTAACAGATGACAGACCAGGCTCTGAAGGCAAACATCACCAGACACCTAACTTTGCTTTCCACCAGTCTAGACCACAAGCTACCAGAGTCACAGCAAAGCTCATACTCCTCCATACTAAGAGACAAACCAGAACTGGTATCAGGATTTCACAGCTCAGGGAGCTGGCTAACTGTAGGCCCCACATGCTTCTGCCCTCATATATATACAGGGCTCAATGACTCACACTCCAGACACCCATACCTTCCTTCCAACTAGTCCTGCTACCTGGACATTTGTGGGATAATTTTTAATAGTCTGTGCACAAGCTCTCCGAAAGTATAATCAATCCCACAAAGAAGAAAGAGCCTTCCCTTATCAGCAGTTTGCTTATCTCCCTGTAAATAAGCACTTTTAAATGGGAGAATGGAGGGATTCCCATTCACAAGCAGATACATCTAGCAGAATCTTAGTTGTCATTAAAAGCAGGAGACAATAACACCTAACAGACACACCAGACAGAACATTTGCTAGATGAACAAAGAAACATTTCGACATCAATATCCAGCAACCACAGCTAAACAGTCCATTAAATATAACATTTATCAATAAACACCTCAACACTGTGGGCATGTTAGTGAGCCTCAGCCATGCGCTGGTACTGTCTATTGCCTCCAAGGGTATCAGTACCCACAGGGATCTGTGCAGTGCCCTTTCCTTTCAAGGAACAAACAATGCAGCCATTAATCTAAAACACAAGGTGGTTTTCAGACCATGGTTTGCACTAACCATGCAAAGGATACACAGCTTTTCGTCGTCCTGAAATGTAAAGTAAAGTTTCACAAAGAAGGGGTGATCCAGGCGTGACATCACATCTCTCTCTCTAGTTACATACGGGACTTTGTTTTCTTTTATAATATGACGTTTCTCCAGAATTTTAACTTAAGGTAAGAGAGAAGTGAGTTTGCTAACATTAGAAAATGTAAACAAACAGACAAGCAACAACAAAACCCAGTAAAATTTTAAAAGAAATTGGCATAAGCTGAAGTTGTCCCAAAACCACCCACCCAAGGTTAGAAGGTTTGAAGACTAACCTTGTCATAGGTTCTAAAATGAGCACAGGCCCTGCAACTACCCAGGCTGCCATATGTATAAAAGTGGCACCACCCCTGAATCCCAGACACACAGCTCACTGGAGTTAGTACTTACTAGCATATTCTCTGGAAGTGGCCAGTTCTCGGGCCAGAACAACCTAGTTTGGGGAGAAAAAAACAATGTAATAATGAGATGAGTCTGATAAGTCACTGTCACCCTGCACAGGCGGTCCAGCCTGTACACATGATTTGAAGTTACATTTAAAGTTACACTGGATTCCATGCTAACAAACATCAGAAAGCCACTGCTTGTGTTAGTATGTTCTAATAGTTAACATCAGCATGATAGCAAACATGGAATGGTAAACAGTGATTGTGCCATTGTTTTCAAAAGTTCATAACCAGCCAGCTACCAAAAGTTCTCATAGTATAGTCAAAGTATAAATTTAAGAATCAATAGGCATGGTAGAGCACATTTATGATCTTAACACTTGGGAGCCAGAGGCAACAGGAGTCCAAGGTCCCAGCAACCCTGGGTTACACAGTGAGATCCTGTTTCAACACCCTCTATCACAAACAAACAAACAAACAAACAGAATCTGGTTGACTGACATGTACTAATACCACAAGTGGGTACTAGAAATTTCTTCAGAAAAACTTCCAAAATACATCTTTTTAGCTGGGCAGTGGCAGCACTCAGGAGGCAGAGACAAAAGGATCTCTGAGTTTGAGGACAGCCTGGTCTACAGATCAAATTCTAGAATAGCCAGGGGTACACAGATAAACCCTTTCTCAAAAAAAAAAACAAAATGAAACAAACAGGAAAGGAGGAGAGAGAGAGAGAGAGAGAGAGAGAGAGAGAGAGAGAGAGAGAGAAGACAATATGTCTTTTTACTATAGATCCTAATAAGAAGGTGCCTTTGACTTAGGTTTCTCATACATTTGCTGTCATACATTTCATTTGAGAGCATGAACATAGTTATGACTTTACTGTATACCAAGAGGTAAAACAGCATGCTAGCCCTTTTTGTCCCGGGAATACTTTTATTCCTGCCCATTGTGTTAAAGCTTATCTTTAACAACATCAACACGTTGGGAGCCAACATTTATTTCATAAACAAGACTGAGCCTGTCTTAGGTCATTCTGACAAGAATGCCTTACTTACCAATCATGGAATATGCATTATCAAAAGCAATGCACTTCTGTCTTAGGTTGGTGAGGCTCTGTACAGAATCTTATCCGTCCTTGGCTTGCCAGCCTGTTAATTTAATAACTCTGTCTGGGGGTCCATTTTCAGGTTCAACCCATGTACTCTGGCTGCCAACATGTTGATGTTGTTAAAGACAAGCTTTAACACGATGGGCAGGAATAAAAGTATTCCCAGCACAAAAAGGGCTAGCATGATCAAGCTATATATGCCATTCTTGAAGCTTGACCAAAATGGAAATTCTTACATTGATGGACTGATAACCAAAGTGTAAATGAAACATGCCCGAAAGAAATCACTGGGCCTGGGGAAAAACTTTAGAAGGCCACAGGCCAGGGTCACCTGGCTTCTGGTTTTAAGTCACATCCTGTGACAGGGCTCCCTAGAAACAATCCTGGAAAAGCACTGTGAGATGCCCATGCCACCAGGAACAAGGTAGGACTGAATGTATTTAAGTAGAAAGAACTCAAAATAGTTTCTGAAAGAACACACTGCATCTACTCTAAGTCGTAACGAGGGTGAAGGGAGCAGGCTGAAGTAAGGTACCCCCCTGGGATGCAGATTACATACATTCACATTCCTTCATGAGCATGCATGCATGGTCTCCTATGTATGAAAAGTAAAGGAACAGTTGGAAAGCCCCATGGTTTACTGGAGGCCGGGGGTGGGGGAATGCTTTGTTTTTTTGGATAGGGTCTCACTATGCAACTTTGGCCTGGCCTGGAGCTCACTATATCGACCAGACTGGCCTTGAACTCATAGAGATCCACCTGTTTTAGCCTTCTGAGTACTAGAATTAAAGGCATGTGTCATCAGGTCCAGCTTGTGATCAGATTTCTAAGCTTAGCATTTCATAAGCAGGTTTCCTACAGAACAGAGGCTTCTAAAGAAGTGCATGGGACATGTTGCTCCATGTCACCAGGGGTGATGTCATTACTATCTTGGATGTGATAGAGTACTTGGGAACTGTCTGCTCTCTAGCACTAGCTTCAGGCTCGGCCAAGTGAATAGCCTGCTCAATCTGGTAACTATACGTCCTTTATTCCTCCCCTGAAAATCCAATTTTAGTGTTCATTATTTCAAGAATAGAGAGATGAATCAGTGTAACACCTAATTTGAGATCCAGAGCTACAGATTCCAAAGAGGCAGAAAGGAGCTTCCAGCTTGCAGTGCTTTCTTTCCCAGGTGCCTCATGGCATGAGTTCAAAAATGGCACTGAGTAAGGATGACTGTGCCAGCAGGAAGAATGGTGCCTAATTTACAGTCCTGTGAAGATAAATATAAAGGAGTAAACTGAGAAAAAGAGAGCTTCACTAGAATATCATCCCTAGCTGAGTGCAACACCCACGGATCTCAAGCACTTCTCTTTCTGCAAAGTGTGGTGAGTACCAAAGGCACAGGGAGTGATCTTCATGGTTAGAGGATTTTTTCATAAGGCCACAATCCTTCCAAGTTACTTCACCAGAGTTGCTAATTAAGACCTAAACCTTATAGTGTGAGAGCCAACAAAGTTAATTTAAGATGACATATTAGGGGGGGCTGGAGAGATGGCTCAGCAGTTAAGAGCACTGGCTGCTCTTCCAAAGATCCTGAGTTCAATTCTGAGCAATCACATGGTAGCTCACAACCATCTGTAATGGGATCAGATGCCCTCTTCTGGTGTGTCTGAAGACAGCTACAGTGTACTCACATACATAAAATAAATAATTCTTTAAAAAAAAAAAGAGTGAGATGTTAGAAATGTAAATAAGCTGTATTTTATGTTTTATTTTTTTAGAACCTTTCATGAATATAAAAAAGAGTAAGAAAAAAATTTTAGCCAGTCATGGTGGCACTCATCTTTAAAGGATGGCGCACGCCTTTAATCCCGGCACTTGGGAGGCGGAGACAGGCGGATTTCTGAGTTCAAGGCCAGCCTGGTCTACAGAGTGAGTTCCAGGACAGCCAGGGCTACACAGAGAAACCCTGTCTCGAAAAACTAACTAACTAACTAACTAACTAAATAAATAAATAAATAAATAAATGGATGGATGGATGGATGGATGTACTGAGAAGGCTGAGGCAGGTAGATCTCTGAATTCAAGGCAAGCTTAAGTTACATAAAAGCTTTGGGCTAGTTAGAGCTAAGTAGTGAGACCTTGTTTCAAAAAAAAATAAAAAATACTAAATAAATCTTTAAAAAAAAAAAATCTAAAGGGCTAGAGAAAAGGCTCAGGGGTTAAAAGCACTGACTGCCCTTCTAGAGGTCTTAAGTTCAATTCCCAGCAACCACATGGTGGCTCACAACCATCTGTAATGGGATCTGATTCCCTTTTGTGGTGTGTCTGAAGACAGCAACAGTGTACTCATATACATAAAATAAATAAATCTTAAAATAAAAAAAAAGAAGAGAACACAACTTCTTACATGGAATCTTCAAAAAGTCAGGTATAAGGAAGACTAGTTGTTTAGGAACTCTCCAAAAGTTATGAGCATTTGGAACTATCCTATTTCTGACTGGAGTTGGAACACAGAAATCTGTTTCATTGGAGAATGTTTTGAATTGTGAGTGACCCATGCCTGGACCACTCTGCAGCAATAACCACTTGGCCTAGGAGTTGGAACAAAATATCTGAAGGCCAACTCTCCAACAAATACTTACTGTCATACTTTTAAGTGTTAAAGCAAACAAACAAATGGACAAACAAAACAGGCCAAGGAGGGGGTGGGGGGATAGTGGGAGGTTGTCACTGAATGTTACCAAAAGTCTCCAAAGAAATACTAGCTCTGATACTAACTTTCAATCTAAGGAACTTTTAGCTTCCTATGGCCTGTCCATTAAGACAGGAAGACACAGAGCATAAATTAACAAATGCTTTTGTTTACTTATTTGTCTTTGAGACAGGCATTTAATATGTTGCCAAGAAGGCCTTGAAACTTCCAGGTTCAAACTCTTCTGCCTCAACTTCCTGAGTATAGGGAATAAAGGTATAGGCCAAAACAGAAAAAATCCAGTTTAACCATGCTTTCTTCTGGTGGTCTGCTAGGGTAGGTATACTCCCTCCAAGATTCTAGTGGCATTCACAGCAGGAGACAGCCCACAGGCATAGGGAGAACAATGCTAGTCAGGTATTCACAGTAGTCAGTGCTTACAAGAGAACCTTGTGCTCAACAAGCAGCAGCAACAGAGGCACATACTCACTGTGGAAAAAGAGCCCTCGCCAAGAATTTTCCCAAACTTGAAGTCTTCAGGGCGTTTCTTGCGAGGCTGTGGTGGCAGCTGGGCAGGGTGCTGCTGCAAGGGGTTGGTGCTTGGCCGGGCTTCAGCTGTGGTGCCGTCCATGGTGGATCCCTGCCTGCTAACACCACTAGGAATGCCAGGGGACGAGCTGGGCTCAGTCTGGGACCTCACCATTGATGGGGATGGGCAGGAACATAGCACCACACTGGACTGAATGGGCACAGCGTCATACTGCAGACACAGGGAAGAGGTAAGAGTCAAATGGCTCTATTGTCCTGAGCAGATGAATCAAATATAAGCACTTTATGATACTGCTGAAGGCAGGACAGTACATCTGATCTGGGTGTCCACTGGAGCCACAGTCCTTCCCTCCCTCTCCCTTGCTCATATTCAGGCATATTCTCCCATCTCCCTTAGCACCACTCCAACCACTTCCCAAGGCCAGGCTAAGAAAAGCAGACATAACATTGTACATTTGTAATTCTGGAGTATGTTTACTTTATACAGAGACACCCAATGCTGGCAAGACTTATGCTAAAGCAAGAATACTCGTACAATTATGGCTGGCACCCAAGATGGGTGTTAGTGTTAAAATGCTTTAGAAAGCAATTTGGCAACTGTCAACAAAATGATTATAGACCTTCCCATGAGACAGAAATATAAAAGATGAGAGAAAGCACACAGTTAAAGTTAGAAGCATAAGCCAGACGTGGTAGTGCACACCTGAAACTCTAACATGCAGAAAATCATGGCTTCTGACCAAGATCATTCACCAAAATAAGGAGGCGGGGAAAGAGTCACTGAGAAAGGAAATAAGTGTGCAGAGCTAGTCTGGTAGTATGTAAACATTGTACCCATATCTATAAATGCTTCTCTTCAGCTCTGCCTTTGGCATGTCCGCATAGTGGTTACACTATCCTAACTATAAAACTGAAGAGATATAGCTCAGTCAATAAACCACTTGATTTGTAAGCATGGGACCTAAATTCCATCTGCAGAATTAAACAAAAAAATGTGGTCTGGGGCTATAGCTCTGTTGTAGAGTAGGTGCCTAGCATGCATAAGGCCCTGGGTTCAGTAACTAGTAACCAACTCTCCCCCTAAAATCAATAAAAACAATAAGAAAACTCCAGGGCCTAGGCAGCCATCTTCCAGTTAACTGGCCAAAATGACCAACACAAAGGGAAAGAGGAGAGGCACTCGGTATATGTTCTCTAGGCCTTTTAGGAAACATGGAGTTGTTCCTTTGGCCACATACATGCGAATCTATAAGAAGGGTGATATTGTAGACATCAAGGGAATGGGTACCGTTCAAAAAGGAATGCCCCATAAGTGTTACCACGGCAAAACCAGAAGAGTCTACAATGTCACCCAGCATGCCGTGGGCATCATTGTAAACAAGCAAGTTAAGGGCAAGATTCTGGCCCAGAGGATCAATGTGCGGATTGAGCACATTAACCACTCGAAGAGCAGAGACAGCTTTCTGAAGCGGGTGAAGGAGAACGATCAGAAGAAAAAGGAAGCCAAAGAGAAGGGCACCTGGGTTCAGCTGAAGCGCCAGCCTGCACCACCCAGAGAAGCAGCACACTTTGTGAGGACTAATGGGAAAGAGCCTGAGCTGCTGGAGCCCATTCCATACGAATTCATAGCCTAGTGTATAAAAGAAATAAAGGACCCAACTGCAGAGTTAAAAAAAAAAAAAAAAGAAAACTCCAATCCCAGCACTGGGAAAGTATAAGCAATTCCTGGGGTGCTAACTCGCCAGCCAACAAAGTCTAATTGTCAAAACTGAGGCCAAGAAGACCCTATTATATGACTGACAGACAGACAAGCAGGTAGGCAGGCAGGCAGGCAGACAAAAAGCTATAAAGGTAAACTGCACTGGTCAAACACATGTACCACACATCCACACACATACTATCATAAAATGAACTCAAGCTAGGAAGTAATGGCACAGACCTTTAATCCCAGCACTCAGGGGCAGAAGCAGGCAATCTCTTGAGTTTGAGGCCAGCCTGGTCTACAGACCAAGTTCCAGGACAACCAGGGCTACACAGAGAAGCCCTGTCTCAAAAAAAATAAATAAATAAAAATAAAAAAATAAAAAATAAAAAAAATAAATTAAGTTAATTAAAATCAAGTGAACTCAACATATCCAAGTTACTTAGGTACTAGTTTAACAGTCCTCCTCATTCAAGAACTCCAGAAAACTTTTATAGCTCAGTTCTAGAATGCTTGACTAGAATACATGAGGACCTAGGTTCAATTCCCAGCGTACCCAAAAGAAAATCTAAAAGTACATAACTTGAGTTAGGTCCTGAAATCACAGTATCTCTTAAACTGCCCACCTGTTCTGTAAAATAGTACATCAAGGTTGCCACTGACTAAAAGATGATCCACTCAAAAACTAAAAGCAGACTGCTTGGAAAAAATAAGCTAAACCTGAGAAAAGGCCATGAGTCCACATGTTATGAAATAAGGTGAGTTGTTTCTTTTCTTCCTTTCTTTCTTTTTTTTTGACTAACTATAACTCTATGTGCTAAGTAAACTAGTTAATTTATGTAAACATGGCAGAATGTCTATGTATGATTTAATTAGGACAGACAAGGATGATTGCTTTCTAGATAAACAGAGACAGAAACACAGAACCATAAAGAAGCCAGGGGTCTGGAAACACAGTAGGATAGGTGTGCACATAGTAACCAAGAGTTAGCAAAGGAAAGCTCAGCCACCTAGAAGAGCTAAAGGAGATGCTCATCTTGAGACTGCAAAGTGCTTAACAAATCTAGACAGAACATCTTGTGACCTAAACATAATGAGTACGGAGGTGGGGAAGGGAGGGCAGATGGTAATACAGGAGGGTGTCTTGCCTACCCCATAGTGTAGCGTGGACCTGGGCTCCTGAGAGCAGACTCCCTGCAAGGCCGCGGCAGCAGCAGCATACTCCTAGCTAAGCAGCCACCATCAGTAACCCTGTACCTGCTCTGTGGCAGGAGGAAAGGCCTTTTCCTTCAGGTGGGTTTGTTTGTTGAATCTATCATCATGCCAGGTAAAGTGTAAAAATATGAAGGAGCTAACCAAATGCATTACTAATGACTACCTGGCTATAATAAGGATCTAAGAATTTCAGCAGAAAATTAAGTTTTCACTTTCTTGTGCGCTGAATAGTGTTCAAAGTCTCAGTGAAATCTTCAGCAAATGTAGAATTTATGTTGAATAAAAAGGAATACAACAATACTAGCCAAGTATTTTCCACACACAAAACCTGTTAGATAAGGGACACAGCTTAATGGAATAGGTAAAAGCTTGTGCTGTTCAAGGCTTATTATTTGAGTTTAGATTCTTGGAACCCAGGTAAAAACCAGATGCATACCCCCTGTGTCTGTAGTCTCAGCATTTCTATGGAAAGATGGGAGGTAGAGACAGAATTCTCTAGAAACCCTTAGACCAGCTAGCCTTAAGTATGTAGCATAGTAACAAATAAACGCTGCCTCTAACAAAATGGGAAATGACTGTCCTCTCACCACCTCACCTATACCCACAGATGACACAAACACACCCTCACACATGAACACTTACAAACACACACACACACCAGACACAAAAAATAAACTTAAAAAACTTTTGAACAAGATTACTCTTTGTCTTAGACATTCAACCTAAGAAAATAAGTTAACAGCATTTTAAGAGCAGATTTAAAACCATTACAAAAGAAAAACATAGAGGGTATGGCCTCTCACCTAGAATGTACAGGCCCTGGTTCCATGCTCGGCACCAATAGGGAAAACAACTTAAAAGCTTAATGTTGCTTTAGATATTATAGCAAAAGCTGAGAACTGCTCAGATGCTCAAGAGAGAAGTGATAGGTAAGCTAGGGTATGCATACTTAGGGAACATGTTGCAGCCCTTAGACATAAAGGTACAAAGGAGGGTTATTCAACTGGAAGAGCTGCTGAAGGTTATATTAGAACCACCTGTACCTTTCTGGAATTTTTAAAAAGCAAATATAAAATAATTTCTTTAAAAAAAAAAAACAAACTTTCACTCTTTAAAAAAAAAAGATTTATTTATTTTACGTATATGAGTACACTGTTGCTGTCTTCAGACACACCAGAAGACAGCATCAGATCCCATTACAGATGGCTGTGAGTCACCATGTGGTTGCTGGGAATTGAACTCGGGACCTCTGGTAGAGCAAGTAGTCAGTGCTCTTAACCAGTGAGACATCTCTCCAGCCCCATGAAATAACTTCTAATTAAATGAAATAAAGGCCAGGAGAGTAGCTCAATGGTAGAATGCTTGTCTAGCACATGGATCCCCAACATTGTGTGTGTGTGTGAGTGTGTGTGCATGTGTGTGCAGTGAAATATATGCATAAGGCAGAACTGATTGAATAAAAATAGTAGACTCTATAGAAGAAAGTGACAAGGGTGAGGGTGACAAACTGGGCATTAGAATTACAGGTATTGCTTACCTCACATTTTAATAAAATAAAAAAAATTAAATAAATTTAACTTGAGCCTACTGGTTTCAAGCTTTGTACTGGTGAAAAAGGAGGCAAGTGGTTTTCTGTGATGAAATCTTACGTGCTCAAGAAGCTAGACTTAGCTAGGTATGGTTATGTACACCTTTAATCCCACCACCCAGAGAAACAGAGACAGACTTCCGTGAGTCTGAGATCAGCCTGGTCCACATAGCAAATATTAGCCCAGCCAAGGCTATGTAATGAGAGTCTGTCTCAAAAGGTCAGTGTGCACCAGGCAGTGGTGGCTCACGCCTTTAATCCCAGCACTTGGGAGGCAGAGGCAGGCAGATCTCTGTGAGACCAGCCTGGTCTACAGAGTGAGTTCCAGGACAGCCAGGGCTACACAAAGAAACCCTGTGTAGCCAAAGAGCCAAAAAGCAACGTCAGTGTGCTATGGAAAATTTCAGATATAAACTTTTGGTGTTGTTTTGAGATAGGATTTTATGTAGGCCAGGATGGCCTTGAACTCCTGATACCACTGCAGATTATAGATATGAACCACCACAAGATGTAATTCTCTTTCTTCCCTTCCTCCGTCTACTTCCCCCTCCATCCCTTTTGGGAAGACAAAATGTGTGTAGCCCTAGCTGCCCTAGAACTCTCTATGTAGGCTAAGCTGGCCTCAAACTCAGAAATCCGTCAGCCTCTGCTTCCTAAATGTTGAGATTAAAGCTGTGCACCATCACACCTAATTCAAAATATAAAA